CACTCTGCATCTAGATCATGAAGGAAATGTGAATACGTCCTTCCTGACTTGCAGGGATGCCTGGAAGTACTCAAACTCCAGTCACAGGACGGAGAAAACAGCCAAGCCACTGGATGTTCAACCATGGATAACTTACAGCAATGGAGTCTACCTATTATTTTGATAAGGTGTCACTTGTATGCCAAGCCTTTGCCCCACAATATTCCTTCCTGATCCTTGCAATCTACAGAATTTTGTCCTTTTGGGAAAGTCACACGTAACAGATTATCCAAGTAAACATTAAGCAATTGGGTAATGAAAAGAACAGTAGAGAATCAGCAAGTGGCAATGGGACTCAAGTTGATTTTGCCCTCTTCATTTCTCTCTCTCACCCTCCATCCCCACAAATCTTGGTGTTTCAGGGTATATGTGCCCACATGGCAGGTGTATTCATCTCCCCTCCCAAATTGGTCTTGTCCCACATGTCCTGATCGAGTTAGCACACCATGCAAAGATCATTCAAGAGACTTAATACTCTTGGTTAAACGTTATTTTACCTGGATTACTTGCAGTAGGCACTATGAGTTGCCTACTCAGAGCCCTGCTTTTGTATGGGTATCCATGCCTCCCACAAATGACCCAGGTAAATCCTGTTTGGGGTAAAAAAGTCACAGTGGTCCCATTCCCTTTGCTAGTGAATGCTTCAAACCAATGAGATGTGATAGGAAGTCTATTGGAGAACTTCTGGGAAAAGTGTCATCACATCTCTTAAAAAGAGACTCAGAGAAGAAATACAGTTACCCCTGAACCATACGTCTGCACAGTTGCAAATCCTAATATAACTTTATAGTTGGCCCTCCATATCCGTGGTTCCACACCCATGGATTCAACCATATTGCATTATGCATATAAACAGTGCATACTTATTGGGGAAAAAAAAACCCATGTATAAGTGGACCCCCACAGTGCAAACCCATGCTGCTCAGGGATCAACTGTAATACCTTACTGCCCTGGACAACCGCTCAGGTGCAGATATGCAACACAACATCTTATGATCCTAAAAGGAGCTAGCCAACACAGTGAAGCTGGCTGTGAGCAGGACCATGGAAATAACACAAGTATTTCATGAGCCAAGAAATTAACCAACCCTCAGGACTGATTTTGTGTAATGACACAACAGATTCCCTTATTGTTTAAGCCACTGTGAATTGGATTTTCTGTTTCTTGCAGCCCGAAGCATCTAAAATGATACAATTCTTCTTTGGAGAAGCAAGAAAAGGGCTCTGGCTTCCTGACAACACCAGGCAACAAAGTAGTTGCCTCAAAAAAGAAAAGAGACTAAGATTTATTTCTCAGTAAGTGTTTCGGGAAAACCAGCTGTGAAAAGGTATTGTTAATAGCCATTCCGGATGTATGAAGAGCTCTTTGAAATCCTCCCATGCAGCATAAACACTGTAATAAAGTTCCAATGAGCCACTGTGAATGGTATGTGTGGGGATATACAGCGTACTTGGAGTCATAATAGTATGCAAACATTGGGGAGCTACCATGAAATTAGTCCTTATTACTCATCTACTCTTATTTCCTTCTACAATTATAAGATTGGGAATTTTTTTCTTTTTTTGCCCCCTTTCTATCTGACGAAAACACAGATTCACGTGATTGGAAGGGAAGTCACAAAACCAGGCTCAGAGATGTTGAATGATTTCCACAAGGTCCCAAAGCCAGCTGGGGGCAATTTTCTTTATTATTAAAAATGCTTTGTGTGTGATTTTAAAACAAAGTCATTTGCTGAACACTCAAGTTAATGAAAGGCGAATAATTGTAGAGACATGGGAAATCACAACCAATTTTTTTTAGTAATTTAATTATGCAAATAAAATCTCCTTTTCTGAACTCACTGCTTTGAGTTTCTTCTTCTCTTCTTCTAATAACCTCCTAAATTCCAATCCATTCCTCTCAATACCATTTCTCCCTCCTAGAGAATCCCTGCATATGGCCCATTCTCTAGGCCAGTGGTTCTCAAAAGACTGTTTGCCTGGGAAGTAAATTAAAAATGCAGAGTCCCAGGCAGAGTCCAATTCAGCAGATCAAGGCGGGGGCCCAGCAATGTAAATGTCAATGCAAACAAGCACCCCAGGTGAGTGTAACCATCCTTTGAGGCACATGACTCCAGACTGTATACTAGATTCCAGGTTCCAAATAGAAAACATCTAGTTTTCATAGTAGATTTAAGCTGGGACAACAAAAATATGTGCAGAGTTGCCTATAATTTTTATGTTCCCTCTGAGGTCTGAAACAAATCCAAGAGCTCTGCGATTTGGATGTACCCTGGTAATCATTTGCGTGGAGGTCTGGAGTTTTTATTCTTTCCCCTCTGAATGTATTTCTACTTGGGATTAAATATAAAATGTCTTAACTCTTCCTCCACAGCTAAAGGAAATCAATTTCGTAAAGTGTTTCAAAAGAGTACTTAAAAAAATACACAAAATATCTTCCCTTTGAACCAGATGCCTGGGATGTACAGGGCAAACACAGTAAGTAATGAGAGAAGTAAACACCAGGTTTTCCAGCAGAACCAACCCTGAAACCAAAACTTAGGAAGGAAGCTGACCATTAAGTAAGTAGACCAGAGGAACAATAGCTCAGGCATATCCTTGGGTAAGTCTGAACCTGAGAAAACAGGAATGAAACAGACAAACCCCTTGTCCCAAGTTAACTTTCCCTTCCTGTTCGATTTTAAAATAGGACAGTACTGTAAATGAGAATAGAGAGTTTAGGTAGAATCTTAGAACTCCTCTGGGTGCCAAAACATTTTTTCAAACTGAAGTAAATACTCCTTACTGGATTCAGCAGTGCTCATTTATACTCATCTCCTCCAGGACATTTTAAATCTAGAGGCTCCAGAGACCAAGAACACAGCACGCTGATAACGGGAGTCTGTGTGTTCTACCATCATGACCAACTCACATTACAGTCATGAGAGCTTGTCTATATGTAGACTTCTTAATGATCACATGAACAAAGGAATGCCACCTAACCTCACAGAACCAAAGAAAATCACTGTTAAGTATCAAAGAGAACACACAATGCTCCAGAAATGCTATAAAATAAATACTCCAGCAACAAAATTGGTTTAAATTCTTTAGAAGGCAAAAAGTCAAGGCCGTAGCTTTAACATGCACATTCCAGCTGTACTTCTCCTGGGCTTAGGGACAAAGACTGAACTTAATGGGGTTGGGAGAGAAGAGGGTGGAACCAGAGGGAGAAAGTGAAGGATCCGCCAGGAGATGAACAGGTTCGTTGGTCCAATACCCACCTTAAGGGTTTTGGATTTTTTATTTCTATTTCTTTTTCTTTAGGATTCCTAACAATCCTCAGGGCATTTTAAAAATGGGAAGATTCAGTTCTGGCTTTACTGCATCACCAATGACTCTTGTTCTCTCTCAGTCCAATTAATCTCTCATCACACTGCACAGCCTGAACAGCCTGACTGCCTTCAGCTGCTTCCTATCCCTTCTCTAGCTGCTCCCAGAAGCCATGGAGGCCTCCCTAAGACCCAGTGGGCATTAAACAGTCAGCAGCATCGCCACACATGCTTGGCTGGATGATGTACCTGGAACTTCCTCTGTTTGGGTGCAGGCCCTTCAAGTGTGCAACTAAGATCTAAGCCAGCTTTCCCGTTTCACAAATGCCTGACTGGGTTTGTGTGGAACAGGCACCACACCGTCATGTCAGAGCATCTGGAGTTACTTTTTAAAGCCCAGTTCCCATTATTTTAAACACACTCATCAGGATTCTTTGACATTTGCGGGGGAGGTGCATATACTCCTTGAAAATTTGCATGTTCTCAGCTACACTTAATTGTTTCTAAACATGCAGTTCAGAGATGGCACGGCAAGAAAAAACATGTGACCTGGAATGGAGCAACCCTTTACTCAGCCTAACTGCTTCTCACCAGCATGCAAAACTCTTGTTCCTTCATCATTAAGACCTATGGAAATCTTTATGGTAACATCTATACTCTCTCTCCAAAATATCAAGTGCTTGGTAGAAACATGAAAACAAATCATCATCTCCCTCGGCAGAGTATCAAATTATCCCAGACATGACTTAACGCCAGAACAAAGTGTGGGTAGGCGCTGAAATTATAACACGTCAGTTCCACAGCATGTAGAGTTTAACAATTTAGGTTAACTGTTATAGTCTGTCTTTTCTTATGCGCTAGTCTCCAATAAAGAACATCCATCAAAGTTAAGAGAAGGTTAGAACATCCACACATGTAGTGCCTGATACAGCAAGGGGTATCATCAGCAAGGCCAATCCAAAGCAGCTCAGGCAACAGTAAATACACAAAAAATCCAAACCATTCCAAGAGTATAAATATCCCGAGCAGGAAAATCAGGCCCCCACTGACTTTCTTTGATTCTCCTCTATTCTTCATACTTCTTCAAAGGCTTTAATATATGTAACATTTAAAATCAATGACATTATAGAGAAGGGGGAGCCTACTATCCATATTTGACAGATGAAGAAACTAAGGAATCGAGGGGTCAGTGGCTTGTCCAGGGCTAGTTAAGTCGCTTGTTAAGAACAGAATCAACTCTAGAAGCCAGGCCTCTTTATTCCAAATCCAAGGTCTGTAAACTTGTAACATATTCCTGTTTGCTCTTAATCATCACAAGAACATGTAACTCCTGAAAAATCTGTTTGGTGACCTGGTATCATGGAGGACACACTCCTATTGGCCTTGATCATCACAAGAACACAACCCCCCCTGCAAACTCTGCCTGGTGGCCTGGTGGCCTGGGCACCTCCCCAGCCTCCACTGCAAAGCCCATCTGGTATGTGCTGCTGTTACCCACTGCAGTTAATATTTCCCACATTTCTTTCCTGAGCCTCCGGCATACCTGATGCAACAGTGGGAGAAGGAAACATAAGCAGAACTGAGACCAGCTTTAGTGCTAAGATAAGAACTTTCCAGGGTTGAGAGAAAGGCCAGCAACAGTCTTAAACCTACTTTGCCAAGTGGTTCATGAGCAGCTGTAACATCTGCCTATTTTTCTCTGGGAGCCGATGAACAAGGCTGTGGATTTCAGAGACCCGTGACTCCTGGTTCTCCAGCTCTGTGAAGGAAGGAGGGAGGCAATACTGGATCAGGGCCTCAGTTAAACCAGTTTATAAGACAAAAATCAGAGGAAACCAAATGTTGGGAACAAGAGACTGAGGATTTCTCAGAGGTATAAGATCCTGTTCTGTGTACTTGTGACTAGACTGAGTAGATCTAAAAGTGCTTTTAATGCTGCTTTCCGTAACAGAGTTCATTAAGAAACATGACTGATCTCACTTAAAAAATCAGAAATTACCTTCTGAGACCAACAGGCATCAAAAAGTTGAGGTTCTCAGCAAGGGACTTGTAGCAAGTCAGTTAACACTTCTGGGCCTCCATTTTCCCTTCTAGCCAGTGCCTAACACGGTGATAGGTATGTGGCCGGTGCCCGATAAATGTTTGTTAAATAAAGATGTGAACAAGCAACTATGAAAAACAAATGACCGTCAGAAAGTTCACGCCAAAATGATGACGTGATGAAATGGAGCCAGTCAACTGCATACTTGGAGCAGGAACAAACTCGGGAGCAGCTGGCTATACAGAGTGGCAGCTTCGTTTCAAGGAAGGAAGGAACTTTATGTACTCGTCAAGGGATAAACAAATTGTACATGAACAGCCTTGCAAGGGTCTCAAATATCAAAATAACACCTCGAGACAGCATCAAAGATATCAAGGGAAATGTACAGTTATTCTCAAGTCATGTGTGACAACCAGCCTGGGAGAAGAAAGGAATGGCAGATAAAATAAGGAAATGTTTCTGCCAACCTATAACCTAAATCACGGACTGTCACGTTCCCTTGGTTGAACTTGGGTACGTGGCTTCGTTTCTCTGGGAAGTACATTGATGGCACTCATCACACCTATTTATAGAACTGAGGTGAGGTTTAATTAGAGAATGGTTGCTATGGGTTTGGAATTTCTCAGAGAAAGAAATCACATAAACAGCATCTTCACTTCCAGCTTTCTCCCAGGTCTTTCTCCTGCTTTACGGGGACAGCTGTGTGTGGATAAGGCCACCAGAACAGAGGTACTCCTAAATTAGGCCAGTAGTAGCTACCAGGGTAAACAAACTCTGACGGCTTAAAGGAAACAGGGAGAGGCACAGGCTATGGACATAATAGCACGGTGGGGATTCATGCCAGACTTAAATCTGATAGAGAATCTTACTGCCCCTTACAGGTGGCCTGCCCCACATAGACAGAGTCCAGTATACTTAGGGTGGCTTGCACCTAAACCCTATGTATTTTAATACCAGTAATATGGCGCTCAGGGCTTAGATGATATAGCTGAAGAAAGATCAGAAGCTATAAATGCAAGCCATGATGGAAAGAGGACTGGGAAGTTATACAAATGGTGCCAGATTCAGGGAAATACGTCCGATGCTCAATTTAGGTAATGGGCAGAGTCTGATTCATTCCGAAAAATGCTACTCCAGGGCTGGAAAAAACCCAAGGAGTTAGAACTCCAATAATCAAAATGAGAAAGGCAAACTTGCTTTTCTCACCTCTCTGTCATCCCCAAACTCACTTCTGACGTTTTTCCCCTCGACTGTAAATTCAACGTGCTAACAAGGCCCTTAGCAATCTGACTTGGTTTCGCTTTTATTCTGTGACAGTCTCATGAGTGTTTATGTGGGTAGTTTACACGCAGACTACGAGGGATTAGGTAACACTTACTTTGGGACACTGACTGTTCTTTGAAATAGAAAAATCTATTCCTTTCCCCTTAAAAATGTGGTGAAAAGAAAACTTACTTGCTGCTTTGATGAAACTTCTTTGAAACTGGTACATCATGAGTGGTCCTGGAAGCATTCTGAAATAAAAGGATACACACTAGTCAGCTTAATGAAAACAATCCTATTCTCGCTACCTAGCAGCCTAGAGGCGGCCAGACTGTATTACATTTCTCAAAGACAAAGATCACAGGCAAACAACAGCAACTCAGTTTAGTCCAACTTAGTTTCCCTTTGGAAAGGGTCCTGAGATTTCACCTGAAATGTTCATTCTTTCTCCTTTTTTTTTTTTTATTTTTATTTATTTATTTATTTGCAGTACGTGGGCCTCTCACTGCTGTGGCCTCTCCCGTTGTGGAGCACAGGCTCCGGACGCACAGGCTCAGCGGCCATGGCTCACGGGCCCAGCCACCCCGCGGTATGTGGGATCTTCCCGGACCGGGGTACGAACCCGTGTCCCCTGCATCGGCAGGCAGACTCTCAACCACTGCGCCACCAGGGAAGCCCTCTTTCTCCTTTTTAAGGGAATGGATACAACTTACGTCTCATAGAGTCACAACCAGAAAAGTGCTAATGCAAAAGTCTACCACAAACTGAGAGATTTCCTTTTCAGTCAGTGACTCGCCCTCCACAAGAGCATTTTAAGATGTGTCTGAGAAACAGGCAACTAACCCAACATTTGCAATCACCTGCTCTTAAACTCTCGTCTTCCCGGCACCTTAGGCACTTCATCTGGATACACTATGCAAGACCTTTGTAGATGTTTTTGTGGCAAATTCACTATGGAGTGTTGCTCCAGAATGCCAAAGGACTAGAATCCTTAATATTAGGCATGATACAGTCAAATTTTATCTGCTATTTAAAATATATTTATATTTTATACTTATTGTCCATGAGCTAATCAATATCAACATGCACAAATAAGTACCAAATACAAACCTCTACCATTTGGTTTTGTGTAAACTACTATGGTAGTATTTGGGATATGTATATGTTTTATGAATATGTTTAACTGTAAACTTGAGGGTTTTTTTACTGATAGTCTAAATGATAAGCTTCTCAACAGACGATCCATGAGTCTTGGTTCAGATTTTATTTTATTCTCATCGGATCCCCTGATTCAACTCTTAGTCATCACTTGCATGACATCTCACTCTTGACTCCAAGAGCCTTCCAGCAATTCCCCAACAGCCAATAAAACCTGCATCACCAATTCCTTTTCTGTGGCTTTCGAGACAACTAAATCTTGACAAACCTGTACAAAGGCTTATGCAATTCGTGATTATAGTTCTCTTCTTTGTTTAAGACTAGACCCCCACTTTCCTGTGTGAGAAGAACTACAGTGGAGAACTATCATACTCCTATACTTCACATCCAGCATGGCTTTCAGTCTACTCGGGAAACTGAGATGTGAGCAGCTGGTCAATCACCCACTCCCTTAATAACCAAGGGAGGGGTGGGAGGTAGCAGGAATATTACACGTATTATTACAAGGAAAGCAGTCTCCTCTCCAATGAAGTCATATTCTCCAATCTAAGCAGAAGGAATCAAAAAGGAGCGCCATAAAGTTCTCATTTTTGAGGAGCAATGTCAGCAGTATACTCTGTCTGTGCAAGGCGCAGAGCTCCCCAAATACGTAGGGTATGTAATCACGCATTCTCAACAGAATAGGATACGCAATCCCTTGTTTTTTTAGCAGATTATTCGGGGATTGCAGGGAATTCCACATTTGAGGTTCTGTTAAAGGCTAATCATCATAGTGGCTTCTCAAAAAGAGCAAAGCCTCCTAAATCACTCATAGCACCACTGCACGATGGCAACCCATCAACTAGGGATGATTTATAATCGGTTTGACCAGCTGAGCTAATTGCACCCACACATAAGCTGTTTCCACATCTCAAACACCCACCCAACAGCTCTCTGGAGGCTGAAAATAAAACTTTCTTCCTGATTGCATGACAACAAGCTGGCATCATGCACCGCAAATGGAAAGTCCCTACCTTAGGTAGGTTTTCAAAGCACTAGTGATGGTCTTTATCTCCCACTCGGCGCAGATATCCGTTTCTGTTTCAGAAGCTGTTTTGGGGTCTAAAATGAAGAAAAGACAACGGGTAAAACAGAGCAGAAAATACAGCTAAACACCAAGCATACATAAAAGCATTCACTCCCTACTAAACAAAGAAATCCAAAGTAAAAAAGGACACCTAGTTTTTCCTCATTAAATTAGAAAAATGTTTACAAATCCAAATATTTACTGCTGGCAAAAATGCAATGAAACTAATCCTCTAAGAAACTGCTGGAAGCAGATGAGATAAATGCAACAGATTTGAAAAGCAATTTGGCAATACGTATCAAGTCCTAAAAAGGTTTAGACACTTTGAAGCCGTAATCCCACTTCCCACAACCCATCCTCAGGAAATAAGATAAGGCATGAGAAAGTTACACACATCCCAAATGTTCAACATACACTGCTCTTGAAAACAGCAGAACAATTTTTTTTTTTTTTGGAGCAGAACAAATTTTAAAAGAACAACCTATACAGCCCATGATAGAATGATTAAGTTCATCATGGTATATTCCTGATGGAATATCATGTTGCATTTACATGATAATGATAACTATATAGCAAAATGGAAAATGCCTGAATTATCATGTAATGTCAAGCAAAAAAAAAAAAAAAGATTTAAAAGTTTGTGAGAAACTCAAATGAACAAAGGCTGAAAGGAAATACTCTACATTGAAAAGAGTGGTGAGGTTAGAGTGGTAGAATTGTGGGTTTTATATTTTCTAAACTATGACTTGATTCCATTACTTATCTATTTTAAATGGCCCTAAACCAAGACGTGCAATAAAACCACCATAAAGATATCAACTCCTGATCATTTCTTCCTTTGTTTCCTCTTGTGTGGACTTCCAAACAAATGTGCGTATTTCAGATAAATGTGTACTGTAAAAGAGAAATAATCCTTGCAGTCGTTCTGAGCGGCACACAGGCAGGCGAGAGTACGAGGCAGAGGCTGAACTGTTTCACAAACCAGCAGACCTCAGTCTTCTGGCTGGCGAGGTGGTTGGAAGTAGAGGCTCTCAGGGCAGTGAAGGGGGAATCCAGCTTCCGGCGATGTGCCTCCCAGCTCCCGTTCCTCTTTTCAGCTGGGCTGCTACCCTTTTCTCACACCTACTCAGGGGAGGCCCCACCCTTCCAGGGGTGGGGAATGAGATGTCTCTAGACCCCGGGACTGGTTCAAGGTGGTCCAAGACTGGGCAGCATGCAATCCAGGACTTATCCAGGACTTTTCCAGGACAGGGGAAAAGACACCTGCTGTCTCCTGCTGTGCTTGCACTGGGAGGTTATACTGCTGCTCTAGGTGCCACAGCGTGAAGCGTGAGAGGAGAGCCTGACAGACACAGCCAAGGTGAGAGAGGCAGAGAGAGCAGGTCTGGGTGACATGGTTTGAGCCCTTGCGTCTCGCCATGCCTTTTTAATCACGTAAGCCAATAAATTCCCTTTTTCCTTAAGCTAGTTGAGGTCAGGTTTTCTGTTTTTTATAATTCAGAGGTCTAAATGATACAGTAGAGACAGCCACCAGACTGTCTCTTTCTGGACAGTCTCTGAGAAGAAAGAGGTTCCTTCTGCAGGGCTCACAGCCTTTCAGCTGGGAAGGAGAATGAGTCACAGGTGGGCACAATACATTTTCTATTAACTGGGAAAGAACCCACTTTCATCCTAGTAGGAAGAGGCCAAATAATCATGAGTGGCTTAAGGATTTAGGCCCTAATCCCCATGTAAGGACACAAATCCAGCTGGTACCTACTGCTCTCTGTGTGTTCCCCTAACAAACAATGCAAGATGAGAGGATAGGGCCCTGGTTCAATAAGTGTTTGGTTCCTAATGGCAGCATGGCTGTTTGTTTGCAGGTGATCCTGGGCAATAATGAAGCCTGTCTTGTCATATGAAACAAACAAGGAAGAACCTAAAGAACATGATTTTATTTCTGGGGCCATAGAATTGTGAACTCCAGAGTTCAGTCACAGCAAATTTCTGAAAAGTAACAAAGTATGGTTTTCCAAATATCCAAAACCTCTCCAGCTTTCATTCTTTTCTTGCTTTGCCATGTCCCACTCCTTTAATGGTTTCTTCCTGTGGAAGTGTATGTACCAAAAAACTTTGCTTAATGTGACCTTTTTCCCTCTGCATCTCCAAGAAGCATGGAGAGCTGCCATAGTTTGTGGTTCCTGGACACGAGACAAATGTTACTGTACATTTTTCTGTGGCACAAATCAACTTCTACCCAAGAAGAGTGAACGGACACTAAACAAGCAGCATTTGGCAGGTCTGGGAGTTGTGAACTGTTCCATGAACCACATTTAGCAAACTAATGATTAGCTTCCACTTATACAGGCTCTGTAACCATAGGAATATTGTACAACATTACAGAGAGGAGAGTCAAATTACAGCCCGGCTAAAGGGGTTTTTATAGCACTGATGAGGCAAGGGTTCGTAACTTAAGCACGTCCATTTTAATTCATTTAATGTCCAAACTAAATTGAATACAGCCTCCCAAGCTACCCCGTTTTCAGAAACTGTTGCCAATTGCCATCCCTCCCTATCGATGCTCCCTTCACTTACAGAAGCTTCCTGGCATACGATGCAGAGACATATTTGACAATTTTCTTCAGAACTCAGTACGTATCTCCTAACCGGGACACTTGACTATGGTGGACCTAGTAACACTGACCAGAGCTAGAGGAGCAGTCCAATGTACAAAAAGGTATCACGGGGATACAGCGAAATGAGTGCATTTCCTCCACGAGCTACTCCCACGTGAATTCAGAAAAACAGGAGATGTGGACTGGAAGTGGTGGTTACAAGGGGAAGTAGTCTTAGAAATGTCACACTGGATCAGACAAGACCCAGGTCCACTGTTGTGCTCCTGACAGAGACACTAAGGACCTTCTGGAGGAAGGGATTAGGAAAGTCGCCTATGTACTCCTACTCTCCTAATGACACACTATAATGTATCAAAATTAAAGTGGATGTGCCCTGAACCAAGACAGCGGCGTAGAAGGACGTGCTCTCACTCCCTCTTGCAAGAACAACCAGAATCACAACTAGCTGCTGGACAATCATCGACAGGAAGACACTAGAACTCACCAAAAAAGATACCCCACATCAAAAGACAAAGGAGAAGCCACAATGAGACCGTAGGAGGGGCGCAATCACAGTAAAATCAAATCCCGTAACTGCTGGGTGGGTGACTCACAGACTGGAGAACACTTATACCACAGAAGGCCACCCACTGGAGTGAAGGTCCTGAGCCCCACGTCAGGCTTCCCAACCTGGGGGTCTGGCAACGGAAAGAGGAATTCCTAGAGAATCAGACTTTGAAGGCTAGGGGGATTTGACTGCAGGACTTCGACAGGACTGGGGGAAACAGAGACTCCACTCTTGGAGGACACACACAAAGTAGTGTGCGCATCGGGACCTAGGGGAAGGAGCAGTGACCCCAAGGGAGACTGAACCAGACCTACCTGCTAGTGTTGGAGGGTCTCCTGCAGAGGCGGGGGGGCTGCAGCTCACTGTGGGGACTCGGACACTGGCAGAAGAATTTCTGGGAAGTACTCCTTGGCGAGAGCCCTCCCAGAGTCCGCCATTAGCCCCACCGAAGTGCCCAGGTAGGCTCCAGTGTTGGGTTGCCTTGGGCCAAACAACCAAAAGGGAGGGAACCCAGCCCCACCCATCAAAAGTCAAGCGGATTAAAGTTTAACTGAGCTCTGCCCACCAGAGCAACACCCAGCTCTACCCACCAACAGTCCCTACCATCAGGAAACTTGCACAAGCCTCTTAGATAGCTGCATCCACCAGAAGGCAAACAGCAGAAGCAAGAAGAACTAAAATCCTGCAGCCTGGAGAACAAAAACCCCATTCACAGAAAGACAGACAAGATGAAAAGGCAGAGGGCTATCTACCAGACGAAGGAACAAGATAAAACCCAGGAAAGGGCTTCCCTCATGGTGCAGTGGTTGAGAGTCCGCCTGCTGATGCAGGGGACTCGGGTTCGTGCCCCGGTCCGGGAAGATCCCACATGCCGCGGAGCGGCTGGGCCCGTGAGCCGTGGCCGCTGAGCCTGCGCGTCCGGAGCCTGTGCTCCGCAACGGGAGAGGCCATAACAGTGAGAGGCCTGCGTACCGCAAAAAAAAAAAACAAAAAACAAAACCCAGGAAAAACAACTAAATGAAGTGGAGATAGGCAACTTTCCAGAAAAAGAATTCAGAATAATGATAGTGAAGATGATCCAGGACCTCAGAAAAAGAATGGAGGCAAAGATCGAGAAGATGCAAATGTTTAAGAAAGACCTAGAAGAATTAAAGAACAAACAAACAGAGATGAACAATACAATAACTGAAATGAAAACTACACTAAAAGGAATCAATAGCAGAATAACTGAGGCAGAAGAACGGATAAGTGACCTGAAAGCCAGAATGGTGGAATTCACTGCTGCGGAACAGGATAAAGAAAAAGAAGGAAAAGAAATGAAGACAGCCTAAGAGACCTCTGCGACAACGTTAAACGCACCAAAATTCGAATTATAGGGGTCCCAGAAAAAGAAGAGAGAGAGAAAGGACCCAAGGAAATATTTGAAGAGATTATAGTAGAAAACTTCGCTAACATGGGGAAGGAAATAGCCACCCTAGTCCAGGAAGTGCAGAGAGTCCCATACAGGATACACTCAAGGAGAAACATGCCGAGACACATAGTAATCGAATTGGCAAAAATTAAACACAAAGAAAAATTATTGAAAGCAGCAAGGGAAAAACGACAAATAACATACAAGGGAACTCCCATAAGGCTAACAGCTGATTTCTCAACAGAAGCTCTACAAGCCAGAAGGGAGTGGCATGATATACTTAAAGTGATGAAAGGGAAGAACCTACAACCAAGATTACTGTACTGTTCAAGGATCTCATTCAGACTCGATGGAGAAATCAAAAGCTTTACAGACAAGCAAAAGCTAAGAGAATTCAGCACCACCAAACCAGCTCTACAAAAAATGCTAAAGGAACTTCTCTAAGTGGGAAACACAAGAGAA